CGGGGCTGGCGGCGGGCACCGCTCGGCTCCGCAGGGGATGCGGGAGGCGGGACACGCGTGTGCCGGGACCCTGCAGCCGCCTCCCCGCCACCGTGGGCTCCCTCCTTCGCACCCCCGAGTGGGGTTTGGTGCTCGGGGCTGACGGTGCCCCGGGGAGGTGGGCACAGATCCCGCCTGGGCCCCGTTTTACCCCTGGGGAAATCAAGGCAGCGGGGGATTTTTTCCAAGTCCTTTTGCCAAAGCAGGGGAAAAGCTGCAAATAGAAGACAGATCCCGTTATTCGCCGTCCAGTGCTTGACTAAGTAAATCCCACTGGCAGGCAGAACTGTCCAGATGGACGTGCACAGAGCCACTTTACAAGCGGCGAGCGGAGGTCCAAGAGGAGCTGGAGCAGGGCACGGCGCTGCTCCGGGCTTCCTTCTGGTGGCTGCAAACAGCCAGAGAGTCGAGCAAACCCAGAGCTCCCCTCCCCATCTCTTCGCGCAGGGATGATGGCCTTAAAGTTTGTCTTGGTGTATTTACTTTACATGATATGGTGCAACTGTCAGGGTACACAAGCGATAGGGAATCTGTGCGCTGAAACCAAAGGGGGAACATGATTCAGAAGGAAAGTGAGATACGTGCACAGAAACATGGAATCCAAACGTTTTCAGAATTGTGGGCTAAGTTTGGGAAGGAAGACTGAATCTTGATGTCCGTTTTAATTAAAGACACCCACCTTGGGAATCAAACTTATATTTTCACTCTCTTACTCCCACATTTACCTGTCTACAAGCTGGTGATTCATCCCCAGAATAAAGGACATTAATTTAAAACAAAACATATAATTAAAGGAAGTAGGAGTGTCCTTCACCTCAGTAAAGAAGACCTAGCACTGCAGGGAAAATGACACTGCCTCTTAGAATAATGTGAAGCAATCCTGCGGTGTGGGAAATATTGTAACGTTAAGCCAGAGGAACAGGTATTGCATTATACGATTCAAACAGTCAACTGTTCATAATGTTCAAACCTCAGAACTTTGAAAAGAGGAAGAATTCAAGAATCAGTCAGTGGATCATCGGACTTTTTTCTTTCTTTTATTATTAAGAATCAGTCAGTGGATCATCGGACTTTTTCTTTCTTTTATTATTTTTTTTCTCGTTTGCTTTTTCTTTTCACGTTTTAAAAGGATTTTTTTCTTGCCATAACAAAAGTACCCTAACAGGTTTTCAGGCTTCAAATATTTCTAGTTCCACCTTTATCTACCAAGTTAATCTTTGGTGAATGCACCAGAGATTAAATTGGAGCTGGGCCTGGCCAGAGAGCTGGGGTTGGAGGTAGTAGTTGGAGCCCATACCTTCATAAATACAAACATCTGTATTGGGTGCAAATACTGGCAAGTTGCAGTGAGCTGGGGCTTGTTCTCCTGACTGTTTACTCCCTCATTCTGCGTCTTTATCCTGCATTCTGATCTGGCAGTTACATCCAGAGGCTGCCCCAACTGGCCCTCGCAACTGAACTCTTGAAAATCGGTCTCATGTGCTTCCTACCTCCAAAACATCTCAGGGACCCACAAGCAGAAGGTTTCCTGCCCAAAATGCATGGTTGAGTCTTTCTTGGCATTACCCCGACAGGTCTCCAACTTGCCACGGCTGTTGGCTAAAACTGAACGCTAAAACTGATTGGTAAATTTCCTGGGCAATTTTTCAAGATATTTTTTGAGATCTACATTTGCCGTCTTCAAATTTCTGCCCTATTCTCTGCTGCTTTGCAGCACGAAGTTGTACTCTGCCCGGGCTGATCTTCCCTAACAAAATAAAACGCCTGTGCAACTGTCATGTGAAAGAGATTGTATCAGGGATGGTGTGGCCCACACCTCCTTTCCAGGGCAGTGCTGAGTAATCCCGTAGTCACCGAGATCACACGTCAGCCGGGGTGGTAATTGAGGTTGGATGCCCAGCTTGTCCCCTCCTTCCCTTCTCCCCCCCCTCACCTCCCTGCTGTACCTGCATCTCTTTAAACTTCCTCCAGCTCACCTCAAACCCCAACATCCACTCTCGAGGAGCCGACGTCCCTTCTCACCTTCTCATGGGAATCTTGTTGGCGGGACTAACCACTTATCCAAAACCCCGGCATTCGGCGAGCAGGTTTTGAGCTAACTCTGGTCTCTTTTAAATTGTTTCCACACTTGTCATAACAAATGCACGGCCAGAAATGGGGTTTTTGAAATGGGAACAGGTGCAGAGCGAGGCTCGCACCGCAGAGGACTGGGTGGAGGTCTGGGCACATCGAGATCTGTCCCTGCAAGTGCCATGGCTTGGCCTGGACAGACGTGCAGAGGCTGCTAATAATTGCCCTGGAAAACCTCCTCAGAGAGATGCTTTAGACAGGAAGAGAGATGCAGACATTCCTGGTGATGGCATCTGGGCAGGGGTCTCACTCTGTGAAAAACCCGAGGGCAGCAGCCCTCCCACAGCACATCTCCCAACACAGCAATTTTCAGCAGAAAGGCAGCACTTCTGTGAAAAGCAGCTTCTTTCTTGTGATTTCATGATTCCTTTTTTTTTTAGAACTAGTCAGCTGACAAAGACAGCATAACTCACAAATTACTTAGTAAGAACATCAACATTTTTGAGCAGAAAAAAAAAAATTCTGATGCAATAGAATCCAGGTTCCTCTACATTCATGTGTGGAACAGTGTAGGTACTGGGAGGGTAACAGAAGGATACCAGGGCGGTGAAAAGGTGGAGGGAAGGGTCTCATCCTCACTGCTCAGTTCTGTCGTGAATTAAATTCTACTCCCCAGTTTCCCTTTTGTACTGTAGAAGACACAACTTTCCAGCTCCAGGCTCAGACCTACAATAAAGCATTGCAGAGGCATTTTCTTCCTGGAAATTGTCTTCTTTTCCAGGATTTCTCGCAAGCTCTCCCGTTCATGCATTCCAGGTCTACAGCAGCTGTCCCTGGAAGCACACCAGCTTTGGAGAGATGCTGTTAGTTTAATGGTGACCGCTCAAACACTAAAGCGTTTATAAGGTCTGTGGACTGAGGATCATGCTCTAGAAAAAGGCTGTCTGTGATTTCTGATGCTTCTTGCTGCTGACTTGTCTCGTGTATTACTTGCCTTGCAGTAGCTCTTGGCAGATCAGTAAGATCAGAGCTGCATCAATGCTAAACCCAGTGTGAACACAGCTGCTGGTAGACATGGAGTCTAAAGCAACACAGAGGGGCAAAGAGGGAAGAAGTTAATGCCAGAAGCTGATGGTTACATCAAGGAAGAAGGTGCTGTAGGTAGTATGGGGGAGGCGAGCTGAAGAGGAGAGTGTGGGGGCATCCAGAGCAGGGCAGTGCCCGTGCGAGCGGGCAGGCTGGGAGAGAGCACAGGGGTGGGTGGGAAGGTCTCTGGGGGGTAGGAGGGGACCTTGCCTGAAAGACTGAGTTAAGTGGAGCGATGTTGCAATAAAGGCTGCAAAATGGAGAAGTAAAATTGAAATTTATTTCTGAGCATGTTGTGCACTCTGTTTTCTCTTCTTTCTAGCCCCGGGTCCCTCTTTATACAGCCACACACACCTTACGCCAGCAACAGCTCATAAGTTGTACCTGGCGGAGGCCAGATTTCAATCTACTGCTTTCCACTCGCCCTTCTCCGCTGTAAAAAAATACCAGCACTTATGAAATGTCAGACAGGGACAATGTCTCAACTCGGAGAGAGGTTGGCTCTCCTTCTGTCTCCCCCCAGCTCATAGACCAGGCTGGAGACTTTGCCTCATTTTAACATAAAAACCGATTGCCACACGCTTCCCTCCCTTCTGCAACCACAGCTGCCATCCCCTGCCTGGCAGTCCCCCGTGGCAGGGAGCTCCCCGGGCGGTTGCAGGCCATGTCTCCTGGCCTCTTTCGGTTCTTTTGTTACAGACCAGCATCCTCCCCCTCCCTACGGGCTCCCTCACCCCTTGTTCCCATGTGACATGGTGATGCCGGGGTATTTGTTGGTCTTCTGCTGGTTTTTCTGCTCACCTCTGACCTAGCATGCTTGGCCTTTGCAGCGCGGGGTTGCTCAATCCCCACTTTATCTCCACGTTGCTCTTTGCCCCACCGAGCGCCGCAGAGACGACACCTGGAGATTGGCACCGCTACCTCCAGCCGGTGGGACAACATGAGCGAAATACCTTCCCCTACCAGACTGAAAATTTTCCAGAGCAAATTGGAGGTCAGAGCACCCGCTCCGTGGCTCAGCGAGAGAAAGAGGAGGAGGGAGAGCCAAGAGCACACACACCAACGCCCGTGGAGGGGAGCAGTGACCAAGCAGAAGCCACAGCCTCCAGTCCTGCGTTGCAGAGAAAGTCCACCTGAAGCCACTTGTCTGGCAAGAGGTGGGCTGCCTTTCTGAGCAGGGACAGTAAGAGGTGACTGTGTATTTCATAAGTAGCCTATTCTCTTGTATTCTCCCCAAAAAATACTGGCAGAGAAGTTGCTGTCCACTAACTTTCCAGAAGTTCTCCATAGTTGTTTGACATTTCCTAGGTAATCCTAGTCTCCTACTTTGATAAATTTGTTACAAATCACGTATTAATGCCTTTTTCAAGCTTGTCCAAGCTTTAGAGAGAGATCCAACAGGGGAAAAGGAATCCTATCCTTCCCTGCCAAGTGTCAGAGGATCCCAGTAACAGAACCTGGTGATTCATTTAGGAAATGTCTAAAAGAGGAGAACTGCTCAGAGGTCCCCAGGCTGCAGGCCAGGTAGCTGGAACTCCATGGTGTGCACTGCCAGGGGCAACGGACACCGAGGGAAGTCTTAAAGTGACAGGAGAGGGGGCTTCGGTGAAGAATTAAAGGATTTTGCTTCATTAAAAGCGTGAAAGGTCTGTGCCTTAGACTGTCCAGACACTTTTATTTCATCTGCCCTCATCTTGTGTCGAGCATCACGGGGAAAGCGGGGCTGCCAGGGAATCAGTTGGGACTTGTTGGTGGTGAGCGCTGGCACCCGAGAGGAGCCCCTGGGCTGGTCTGTGTCATCTGGCAGCGGGCCTGGGTGGCCTGGGTACCAGGTGGGGAGAGCCACAGCGCGCCGGCCTCCGCATTCCTCGCTTCTCGGTCCCTGTCATCTCCCTATCTTTGCATTTCTGGCTTTGGATGGGAGCCGTAGGAGTGGCTATTCCAGCTCTCCCACCCACTGACGGTTTCCCATGCCGGAGAGTCCAGCCAGGGAGCTGCAGCCGGTTTCTGCTCCCTCGGTGCCCTGTGGAGACCCGAGTTGCGTTAGGGTGGGTGGCGGGGGAGTTCGAGGGGGGGGAAACGAGCCTGGGCTGCCCTGCAGGGTGGGCAGCTCTCGGGCACGGGGGTGTGCGGGGAGGCGCACAGGGGCTGCGGGTCTCTGCCCGCGGGTGGAAGAGCAGCCGCTGAAATCTCCGCCGCCACCCGAGGCCAGGAGGGACCCCGGCCCGTCGCCTGCCCCCGCCGCTTTCGCACACACCGCCGGGGCTGCAGCGGCTGCGAGCGGGGCGGGTGAATTTTACGAGGGACTTGCAACGCCTCGTTGTTCGGTGGCGGCTGTGACCGCCCGGTGGCCGGCGGGCTGGAACCGGGGCAGCTTTTCCCGTGAGCGCCGCCGCCCCGCGGCCCGGTCCAGGCTGAGGTGAAGGCCGGCACTGCCGGAGAGCAGCCCCCGGGGCTCGGAGCTCCCGGTGGGACGGCGGAGCCC